TGTTCACTTCTCTCTTTTATCTCTGTAAGATAAATGGTGACGCAGGCCACACCCCAGGGAAGCTCCATTTACATTGGATCAGGGATGTGGCCTGAGTAAGGGTGTTAAATCCCACCCTAATCCTCTAACATAACCTAATCTTGCCTCAGTAACCACAGGCAAAGATTAGGATTTACAACACATAGGAAAATTACATCAATCACAAAATGGAGGGAAACCACACAATACTGGGAATCATGGCCTAATCAAGTTGATACATATTTTTGGGGACACAATTCAATACATGACACTCCCTTTATTTTTGAAAGATATTTTATTTAGCACTAGAATTCTGGTTGGCTGCAATTTTTTTTCTTTCAGCACTTTAAAAATGGTGTTCCATTGTCTTCTGACCTCCATTGTTCCTGATGACAAGTCATCATTTATATCATTGTTTCCCTGTATGTAATGTGTCCTTTTTTTCCTCTAGCTGCTTTAAGATTTGCTCTTTGTTCTTGTTTTTTTGAAGTTTTATAGGTGTGCCTAGGTGTGGTTGTCTTTGTATTTATCCTGCTTAGAGTTTGCTGAACTACTTGGATCTGTAAGTTTATGTTATTCACCAAATTTTGGAAATTTTCAGCCATTATTTCTTCACAATTTTGCCCCATTTTTCTCTTTCCTTTTGTTTTGAAGCTGCAATTACACGTGTATTAGATGACTTAAATTTACCCACAGGTTTGTTCATTTTTTTCTAATCTCTTTTCTATCTGTTTTTCATATTGGATAATTTCTCTTGTTCAGTCTTCAAGTTCATGATTCATTTTTCTGCTGCCTACAATCTTAGCTCATTCAATAAATTTTTCATTTCGGCTGTTGTATTTTTAGTTCCAGAATTTCCGTGTAATTATTTTTATTAGTAGTAGTATTTAGTTTCCATTTCTCTGTTGGGATTTCCTACCCATTGGTTTTGAACATGTTTCCATTAAGTCCTTGAAAATATTTGTAATAGTTTTTTTTAAAGTCCTTTTCTGTTAATTCCAACAATTTGAGTATCTTGGAATTCGTTTCTATTGACTGCTTTTCCTCTTTACTGTGGTTCACATTCTTATTTCTTTGTACGTCTAGTAATTTTTTATGTATACTGGATGCAGAATATTGTGGATTCTGTTGTCTTCATCTGCAGTTTTTCCTTTCCCCCTACTTTTAGGCAGTTAAAAACTCCAGACTCTGTCTCCCCTGAAGTAGGTAACAGCTGAAACTGCCCATTTCTTTCAGCTTTCCAACTGTTAGTTTTCACTGGGAGCCTTAGGGCCTCTCCTGTGTATGTACAGTTCAGAGGTCACTCAAGAATTTGTGCAGTTTATTTGTAAATTTTGGGTATCCCCCTTCTGTTGCTTCTTCCTTTCCATCCTCTCTGGCAGACCCAAACTCTGTCCTTTGACTCCTCAAGCCAATAAGAGCTTGGTTTTCTGGGTAAAGTCTAGCCATCTGGTTACACAAAGGTTGGAGAGTAAGGTAAAAAATCATAGAGCTGCAAACTTAACCCTGTGCAATTCCCTTCTTTCAAGGGTTGACTTCCTTCCTGTTTCTGTCTGCTTCTGATTGCTCTGTAATGCCTTAAAATAATCGTTTATTAACTATTGTTTATCAGAGGTTATAATTGTTATGTACGGGAAGGTTAATCCAATATAAACTACTCTGTCATTACTAGAAATGGAACTATGTAGTTGGTTTTTGTTTTTTTAATCCAGTCTTTTAACTGTCTGGTTTAGTTCATAAAGCTTACTGTAAATATTGATGTATTTGTTTCTGCTATCTTATTAATTTCCTCTTTTTGTAAAATTGTTTTATAAGTTATATACTTTATTTCTATTCTTTTGTGGTTACTTTGGAATTTTAGAGGAATACCCTCAATGAGATGGATTGACACAGTAGCTGCAACAGTGGGCTCAAGCATAGCAACAGTCATGGGGATGGTGCAGGACCAGGCTGTGTTTCGTTCTGTTGTACATAGGGTGACTGTGAGTCAGAACTGACTCGACAGCACCTAACAACAATAACAACATACCATTTTAAGAGTAAAGTATACCTACACGCTGTCCACTTCTCTGGAGCAATAAAAGGACCTTAAAAAACTTCTACTTAGATCCTTTCCCCTAATTTACATGCTGTTATTCTCTAGTATTTTGGTTCTGTGTGTATGTGTATATAGTGTAACACATACAAAAAATCTACAAAATATTTCACAACATATGTAACCACCTCTCAGGTTAAAAAATTGAACACCAGTACCCTAGAATTCCCCTTCATGCTTTCTCCAAATTAATTCTTTTACCCTCCTTCCCCAAGCTAACCACTATTGTGACTTGAAATATTTAGTTTAATAGTGCTTAATTGAACTTCATCTAAATGGGATTATATATATCATCACTCTCCAATAGAACCTTCTATGATAACGAAAATGTTCTATATCTGCCCTGTCTAATACATTTGCTACTAGTTACACGTGGCTGTTAACTACTTGAAATGTGGCTGGTGTGGCTGAAGAGCTGAATTTTTCATTTAATTTAAATAGCAACCGATAGTTAATGTCCATCGTATTGTGCCACACAAGTATAGGCTATATTTTTTTGTGTCTGGTTTCCTTCACTCAGCACTGTTTCAGAGATTCATCCATGTCTTAGCATGTAGCTTTGGTTTGTTTCCGACCTGTTGCCACCAAGTCGATTCCAACTCATAGCAACCCTATAGGACAGAGTAGAACTGCCCTATACGGTTTCCAGATAGCACCTGGTGAATTCGAACTGTCGACCTTTTGATTAGCGCTGTAGCTCTTAACCACTACACCACCAGGGTTCCCATGGTTTGTTCCAGTACCTGTGTAGTATTATATTCTGTGGATATACCACAATTTATTAATTCTATTATTGATAGGCATTTGGATTGTTTGTAGTTTTTGGCTATTGCATGTAATGTTACTGTGAACATTCTCTCACATGTCTCATGGTGCACGTATGTCCACATTTCTGGGAATATTTAGCTAGGAGTTAAATTGTTTATGTTCAGCTTTAGTAGGCAATACTGAACTGTTTTTCCAAGGTGATTGTGTGAGTTTTCATTTTTTCCAGTAGCGTACGTGAGTTCCCATTAGTCTATATCCTCACCAATCATTGAAAGTATTCAGTGTTTTTGATTTTGGCTAGTCTGATGGGTGTATACTGGTATTTCTTTGTGGTTTTAATTTATATTTTTCTGATGAATAGTAAACATTGGCCATTTTTACATAATCTTTTGTGAATGTATTTTCAATTTCTTGACATTTTCTATTGGATTATCTTTTTCTTATTGATTTTTCTAGATTGAAAATACTTCCTTTCTTTCTGGACACAAGTTCTATGTATTGCAAATATTTTCTCCTACTCTGTGGCTTGGTGTTACGCTTGTTAAATGGTGCCTTTTGAATGTAGTTGATGAGACATAAAGCACATGATTAGTTTTCATAATGTTTTTTAAATCCAGTTTAAGAAATCTTTACCTACACTAAGGTCATGAAGATATTCTCCTATATTATCTTCTAGAAGCTTTGTTGTTCTTACTTTCACATTTAGTATACAATAACTCTGAAATATATTTTGTGTGTAGTGTAAGGTAAGGGTAAAATTTTTTTTATCATTTGGCCTGTCAATTGACCCACCATGATTTATTAAAAAGACATCATTTCCACTGTTTTGCAGTGCCATCTTTGTCATAAATCAAGTGTCCGTATATGTGTGGATCTGTTTCCAAGCTCTCTATTGTATTCTATTGGTCTATTTATCTATTCTTGCACTAGTAACACACTCTTAATTACTGTAACTTTATAATAAGTTTTCCTGTCTTATACAAGTCGTCTTCTTCATTGCTCAGAGTGTCTTGGCTTTTCTTTGCATTTTTTCCATCCCTTTGAATTCAACTTAGGGCAACTCACTGACCCTAGAATGTAGCTTAAACTTCACACATACTTTATACGTGCTTATAGTATTTTAAATTACAGACAATATAACACCAGTGCTCCGGCTCAGAGGAGGGTGCAGCTGCATCTTAGAGGGATCACTAGTGCCTGTGAACCAGAAAGGCTCTGAGAGACTCCCTGTGCTGTTGACCAAATGAGATGCGATAAATCTGGTGTGAGAAGCCAGTGAAGACCAAGAAATTGACACTTAATTCCACCCTCCTGGGCTTTAGTTGGGGCCCTGGTGGCGCAGTGGTTAAGAACTAGGACTGCTAAGCAAAAGATAGGCAGTTCAAATCCACCAACCGCTTCTTGGAAATCCTTTGGGGCAGTTCTGCTCTGTCTCATAGGGTCGCTACGAGTCGGAATCAACTCGACAGCAACAGGTTTTTGGGCTTTAGCATCATTCCCCGGGAGGAGACGGAGATGAAATCAAGAATGTCCGTGTGTCTTGTTCACTGTTACATCCCTGTTCTTAATATATAGTGGCCATTCAATAAATATTTGTTAAATGAGTACATGTGTATTCATATCATATGCTTCTCAGATGACCCTTATGTAGCCATGAATTTTACTCTATCTTAGATGCTAGAAAGTTTAAAGCTAAATTTTTAATAGCCTGTGAGTTTTTGCCATTTTGTGGTTTTGCTTTTCTATTTCTATTTTAAGATTTATATGCATCACTTCAAGTCTTTTTGGAAATAAGTGACATAGATTTTTCTTTTTAATGTTGAAATAAGTGATGACTTGCCAGTTTATTGACTTTCTACATTTCTAAATGGAAATAACTTGCAAGTTCCTTAGCACATTATATTCATATATTTTAAAGTTCAGTTTGAGATTATATCCAGTTCTCATATTTCATAATACTCAGATTTTATGTTAGAGAAACTGCCAAGTTATCCTAAATTTTTCCATTTTGATTTTCCTTTTCTTTTTGAAAAGTTGAATGTGCTTGATGAGATTTATATAAAGCACATGTATATTAGTTTTCTGCCCTAAGTATTAAAATTTATGTTTTTTAATACAGATGTGGAATTAGAAGAAGCTATTAGAAGAAGTCTTGAGGATATGTAATTAAAGATATTACCACACAACATCAAGTGGCCTTGAAGAGACTCTCAGGATGAGTTCTAGAGTTTGTTTTCTAAAGGACACCAGAAATCTACTAGCACAAATATATTTGAAAACACGCTTTTGCATTGACGTGTTCAGAGTCTGATAATTTGCTTTGTGTTTTTGTGCAAAGATGTTCAGAAGGAATAGAATATATATTAATACAAATATAAATCATGTATTCTAATGTAGGTTTCTCAGTTAACTTTGAATGCATATACTTAGATTAAAAGGATTTTTTTAAAAATAGAAAAACTCTTGCCTATTGTTTATATGTTTCTCAAATATTATGTGTTCTTTAATTTTATTTGTACTGTACAGATGATTCTGATTTATTTTTTTAGGAGTGAAAATGAATATAAATAAAGCTGCTCAGTTTTTCTATAAATCTTACTTCTCATGTGGCATTGATATATAATACCTTTGAGATCTTTGTTTATAATTATTAGACCAGAGTAATGGAAATTGATCATGGAAATAGATTAAAATTTTTACCAGCAGTGTTCCTTATGGGTTTTGCTTAAATGTATATCCCTGCTTTAATTGGAGAAGTACATTGCTAGAAGAGAAAAAAATCCTAATTTTTTTGAAATAATTAAAAGGAAACAGTTTCCATTCCTTTTACCTGCTTAGATTTTTATATGACTTGTATGATCTATTATTATTTAAGGGGAATGAAGCTAAAATATTTGCGTAGAGTCAAATTTATTTTTAATAATCTTAGTCCTTTTTTTATATATTTGTGTAAACATAATATTCTTCAAAAACTAGTATAAGGTCTACTCAGGAATATTCTTCCTTAACTATTTAAAAAAATTATTTCTTATGGAAATATCTTCATTTTAATTATTCATTGAATTGTCAATTTCCTCCATTTGGATTACATATTTAATTTTTAAATGTTAAGGCCCCATTGTGAATAGTAAAAAATAAGTAGCAAACTAAGAAGAGCTCATCATACTGTCTTTGTGTATGTATTTCATGTCATTTGACCAGAAATATCTTATCCCTAAAAAAATTGAGTAGTAATTACTTACCAAACTTAAAAACGTTTCTGTAAACATAAAGTTTTCTTTAAGACAAAAAATACCATGGTTAGAATTTTGTTCTTTCTCTGCAACACTGGATATTTTATTGTAAAATGGAATTACTGTTTTTTTATTAACAGTCTTTTCAACCCGCACTGAAAACCAAATTGTATTTTTATTTCTTAAGATGTCAGTTCTGTTCCTGCTTGCATTTTTTTAAAGAAGACACCACACCTTGAGAATTTACCAGTCATCATTCCAAAACGACCACATTATGCTTTCAATTTGTAGGCTAAAGTGGTCAAGCAGGGCTTTAGGGAGGTGCTCATTATGCTGGACTTTAAAGATACCTGCAAGAGCTTTCTAAATAGGAGCAGAAAGAATAGTCCAGGAAGAAGAGTGGTTACGCAGATGTGGGGCAAGTGGAGACAGAAGCTCTTTGTTGGGGTTCCAAACATGGGCGTGATATACACTGATGCTCCATTAATAAGCTTTTGTGGTTTGTATGGTAGAGAGTAATCGAAACTTTTGAAGTGATGGGAAAGGGATATTTAATCACGACCTTTAAGAAGAGGTAATTAGGTTGTTTAATGTTTTACTTAATAATTGTCACCAATTGTATTTCTACCTTGTAAAGCAATTAAAAGCCATTTAAAAGTATTTCATAGTTGAATTTAATTTAGACACAAGGAGAAGATGTAATCAAGTGGATGACATTAGAGAAAGTTATTATGGATTATTTAATTATCAAAAGTAAGTTGCTTTTCATTACATTATTCATTCATTCAAAAAAGTATTATTGACTACCTACCATGTACCAACAAACTGTTGGAAGTACTTGGAATGCACCAGTTAGCAAAACAAAGCCTCCACCCCTCTATGGAGCACACATTTTGGGGAGAGGGGGTTAGATGGGGTGTTAGATAATAAGCAAGTAAAGTATATCTGATGATGATAACAGTAATGAAGGAAAATAAAGAAGGGAAGCATAGGTAGTTCAGTGGATGGGGGATGGGGCTTGCTATTTTTAATAGAGTGGTCAGGAAAGATCTCACTGATGGGTAAAGTTGAGCAAAAGAAGGTGAGGGAGTGAGCTATGCAAATATGTATAGGGAAGAGTGTTCCAGGTGGAGAGTAAAGCAAGTGAAAAGGTCTAGAAGTGAGTTTAGCATATTCAAGGAAAAGCGAAAAGGCTAGTGTGGCTGAAGCTGGATGAGCTAGGAGAGTAATAGATGAGATTGGAGAAGTAGGGTGGGGAACTGTGTGTGTAGCGCCTAGAGGCCTTTCTAAGGACTTGATTTTATGAGGAGCCATTCTAGGTTTCTGAGAAAGAGTGGCATGATCTGCCTTATTTGAAAGGATTACCGTAGTTGCTTTATTGAGAAGACATGAGATGCAAAAGTGAAAGCAGAGAGACAAGATAGGAGGGTATTGGAGCAATCCAAGTGGGAGTTGATGGTGGCCTGGACCAGACTGGTGGCCATGGAATTGGGGAGAAAAATGTAGATATATTCTGAAGGTAGAGCTAATGGGATTTACTCCTGGATTGGATCTAGGATATCAGAGAAAAAGAATTCAGGATGGTTCTAAAGTTACTTGATAGACTTTCACACCATTCACAAAATGTCCTCGGATTCCAAGTTCATGTCACGATGTGACAATATGTTTAATGAGGTCAAATAATCCCCTACACCAATAGTTCATCAGTATTTTGAATGAGTTCAGAGGGAATTTCGATCTGGGCTTAAGGGCCTCATCTCCAAGTATTTAAATGGCTTTAATCTCTGATTAAAGCTTTAAACTGTTATGTCATTTTCTGTGCACATTTTCATCCTTGCCATATGAGGCACACAGCTATAATAAGATGGGAGCAAAACAGATTTTTCCTTTAAATAGAGAAATCTTTATACTCCCAGACCTACTCCATCTTTTACCGACCTTTATGATATCTGACCTAGTGGCCTGTTGCATCTTGTCATTGTTAATAGGAGATTTAAATAAGTTGGACATGAAATGGCCTTTATTGTTAATACCAATGATTTCACTCCAATTCCTACAGGAATAATTTTTTTGAATAAACAGTAAAAATGATCATTAAAAATTCCTTCATCAGAATGGATGGAAGTGAATTCATCTTGCTTTATGCATCCAGCTAGACGGAAAGGTGTGGTAGCTCTTTTTCTCTCTATAGGTTTAGTGTTGCCCAGGCTTTGATTCTCATCTCAGGAAAGGGAGCGGTAACAGGACAGGCCTAGACTGGCTAGGAGTTGGACATAAATGCTTTCTGCTCCCCAGAGGGACCAATTCTCCCCACATCAAAGGACTTTAACTTTTTTTGTTCTTGCTGTGAATTATGGGTGCTGGGAGAAACCAAAAGAGGCCATCACTGAGCACTACATCCACCTGTGGGTGTTGGTTACTTTTAGGCTGCACTGAGTAGGGCGTCTGTTCCAGGGAAGGGGAGGGGGGCGTTCTCCGCATGGGCTTCAGGTTATTCTGGGGAGCCGAAGTATCAGCCGATCGCGTTGGGTCCAACTCGCTTCCTGTGTCCGCCCCTCCAGGTGCCTCTAAGGCTGCCTGGCTTTGCTCCTCAGGTCCCGTGACCTGCCTGCCTGTCCTGGAGACCCTTGGCCAGCGAGTCCCTAACCACTTCCGCCCCCTTTCCTCTCGCCGCCCCGCCGCCTCAGCCCCCTGCCAGGCCCGGCAGCCCCCGAGCCCCGCGGGCGGCGCGTCTCTCCTTCTTTGGCCACGCGGCAGCAGCAGTGTCGGCGCGTCCTCCCAGGCCGTCCCCCGCGGGCGTCAGAGGGAGGCGGTCGCCCCGCGCAGTGACAGCGACGCCTGCGGCCGCGGAAGCGATCCACTCACCGCTGTCGCCAAAGAGGCCAGTGACCTCTTGGCCCCCCGCCTCGGTGGCTTAGATGGCTCAGGCGAAGATCAACGCGAAAGCCAATGAAGGACGCTTCTGCCGCTCCTCCTCCATGGCCGACCGCTCCAGCCGCCTGCTTGAGAGCCTGGACCAGCTGGAGCTCAGGTGAGCGCGGCCGGCGGCGGCGGCGGCAGCCGGGAGGCACGGGCGCCCTGCTCGCCGCGCGGGCGGTTCCCCTGCGGAGGTCGCCGTCCCGCGCCGTCCCGGGGCTGCCTGTGCAGCAAGAGCAGTGCTTGCTTGAGATTTGTTTTGGATGGAGGTGGTGCGGTTTTGTTTGTTTCCCAGTGCTTTTTCCCCTTCTTGTCCGAGAGAAGACGAATTCTATTTAAGCTCAACCTGTGAGCCTGTTATTGGTGGCCACGTTCTGATTCACATATCTGGACATTTGGTAGCGGAGAAAACAAATCAGAGAAGATAAAAGTTAACGATGACACTGTTTGAGATTAGGGACTGTGGCACTCCGGGTCTACAAAACTTCTAGAATCTTCTCTGTGCCTGTATATGGTCCTCCCAAATGTTTTGAACTTACGCTTTTCTTGTTACGCGTTTTTAAGGGAGGCAGCAGTTCAGAGTGGCCTCCGATGTGAAATGATCAGTTTTCTTGCTCCAAAACGCTTCAGAGCAAAAACAAACCAGGAATCCACCCAATAGCAAGGATTAGAGAAGAGTGGCTGTGGGGTGAACAGTAGCTGGGTATTTTGTGGAATAAAGACACCGCAGCTTCCGTTTCTCTGGTAACCCCGCATACTGTATTCAGCCATTCCGTTAGTCTCTAAATATTTATTGTGTACCTCCTTACATAGGCGTCACTGGGCTGACATGACACCTTCTTGAAGGTGCTAGTCGCTGTGGCTTGCAAGCATGAAAGCATAGTTTTCCCTTTTACCTGATTAAGATTTCATTAAGTGATTAATCGCTCTGAGTCGGAATCGACTCGATGGCGACAGGTTTTTTTTTTAAGTGATTAATATAGTGGTAGGCTTGTATAGAATTTCTAAATAATTTATAATAAATTTTGGAAATACCTTTTTGCCTTTAACAGTATATGAAAATTTCTGTTTCCTATGAACGTTTTGATCTGTGTACAGCTTTATATAATTAAATGAAAATCTTATTAAGGCATACACGAGTTCCCTGACAGTGTACACAGAATTTTGTTTCAAAGTTTTCACCAGGTTCAAAAAGGTTTATGTGAGTCAGAAAGTTTAAGAAGGGCTGCATGTATGTGTTTACTGATTAATATACCAAAACAAGAAGAGATGTATGTTTGCTAAGAAAAGTAATTAATAGCCACAGTATTCTTCTCTTAACACTGAGGCCCTTATTACTTCCCCAAGAAAAGAGTCAGAAAATGAGAAATTGTCCATGTACAACAATTTCATGAATGGCAACAGAGAGATATCTGAGCCCTAAACCAAGTTTTGGGGTTCTGCTCAGAATGAGACAAATGGAACAAGAGAGAAGTAATGCTTCTACATGGATAGCCACAAAAGTAGTAAACCTGACCCGTTCAAACCAGAGAAAGTAGAGCACAACTAGAGATCAATGGCCTCAGCTACTTTCTCTCTCTTACAGAATATTATTTCTTTCTATGCAGCAGCATAAAAAGTAACTCACACATCTCTCTTGGCCTTCAGAACTTTGAGAGCATGTTATCTGACTTTTTTGGAGTCTCCCTCCCCAATTCAGAAAGCAAGGATTTTTTCCTTAAAGGAATGAGGAGGGTGTGGCCCCTCCTTCAAGCTGAGTCATTGTCCTCAAACCACAATTAATGCCTCACATGTGGTTGGTACAGAAGTGGTCAAGTGTGTCTCTTTAAAAGAAAGCCTCTAGTTTCTTGAATATTATTATAGTCAAATGTTTGATTAATGTAAAATGTGTACTGATTACTGCACATAAGGGATTAAATTACAACTTGCTTAATTAACCCGTGAGCTAAGGAGGAAAGACTACTGATTAATATGTGTCTAATTGTTCATTTCAAGGATTTTTCTAGTAATTCTAGACTTTTGAAAGTTTTATTTCTTCCTTTAAAAAAAAAAGAAAGAAAACTTAGGAAGTGTTTCATAAGGTAAGAAAAGATAGAAAAATGCTAATGTCGATTCTATGAAAGTTTTTCTGAAACCACATGGGCAATGTTACAGAGCCCTACACTATTAAAAATAAGAATTTTGACTATAAGGTCACTTTTTAAATAAATCAACATGAAATGTAATTTTGCTTTAGTAGTTTAATTTCATATGAACTAAGACTAATAAAACAGTGTATTAGGTAGAGGAAAACATTATAGTTTGTACTTAGAAGCGTGCAGTTACTGTTCTCCAATCACACTGCTTCTGTAGATTGTGGAAGAAATTTCTTCCATATGAAACTGAAAGCAAGATTATGCCATATGCTTTATGACTTGAATTATGAGCTGCTGTATATGATGTTTAAAATGCTTTAAAATACTTGGCAGCATTCTACGAATAGTTAAAGAATTCTGTTTGTTTCTAATTCTTTATCATGACACTAGCCTTTCTTTTTTGACTCCATCTCCTTTATTACTTTTTCTTTTCTCCACATTTTCATAACTAGTTCTAAACAGAGTCTGAATTTTTCATTCGGCAGTGGTTCAAGATACCTAGCTACTGTTTGTTATTATTACTTTTTAACAGTTATTGCAATTAATAATTATTATTAATAAGAAATGGAGCCCTGGTGGTGCAGTCGTTAAGAGCTCAGCTGCTAACCAAAAGGTCAGCAGTTCAAATCCACCAGCCACTCCTTGGATACCCTATGGGGCAGTTCTGCTCTGTCCTGTAGGGTTGCTATGAGTCAGAATTGACACAGTAGCAATGGGTTTGGTTTATTATTATTATTATTAATAAAAATAATCATGCTAACATTTATTCCATTAATGAGCACTGACTATATTCCAGGCCCCATGCCTTTGTGGAAGTACTATCTCCATTCTACAGATGGGAAATTGGGCTTAGAAAGTTAACAGACTTTGAGTAATGGACTCCAATTTGAACCCAAGAAGCCCAGCTCTCCAGACTCTTTAACACTTTATGCCTAAATTTTCTTAACGTTAAATGTTATATTTCAAAATACAGGAATGATATATGGATGAATATGTTACTGAAAGAGATGCGAAGTCTATTAAATTGGCCTTTAATTCAGTAAATATGGAACACTATGTGCCAGGCATTGGGTAGCTTCTAGAAGGCTCTGGATAGTAATGAAGATATTTGGGGGATGGGTTTTGGAGAATGGTGGGGGTTGGGGGAGAATGACAAGACTGGGAGATTGACTGTTCACAAATTTCCCCAAACTGATCACATCGTGGCCTTTTCCCCTTCCAATCAGCCAGAAATGAAAGGGTGGGGCAGAGGCTGATATGGATCATTTATCTGGGTTAAAGTTTCTTGATAGGGTGTGCCAGTATCCCAGCAGTCAATACAAACAGGCATCATAACTAATATTGTATAAAGGCCTATAATTTAAAAGAGCACTTTTCAGATGCATTGTTATTTGAACCCTACAAAATCCTTTGAGGTAGGAGGAGGGCACATATTATCTCTTTTAGAAATGAGGAAGCTGAAGTCCAGGGGGATTAAGTGGCTTTCCCAAGGCCATACTACTAATGAGTATCTCCTAACACTAAACACCAGTCCCATGTCTCTGTAGTCAGTGCAATATAATATTTTGGTGATAATTAGGAGAACCCTTCAGAATCTTACATTGCCTAAAATATAAGCAGTCATTAGAGAGTTCTTTTGGTATGGAGTATTGAATAAGACAAGGGACTATGATTTTAAGAACCTGTTTTAGAAATTATTTCTTCTGAATGAATCCATGATGTGAGCATTTGCCATTTTCTCTCCTTTTTATGAAAGCACAGACTCTTGTTATTAATAAGCCTGAGTTTATACTACTAAGTATATAATAATTATCATGAAGCTAATGTATGCCAGCACCAATTTTAGGCACATTGTACTTATTAACATATACAAATGTTTTTGTGTTTGTTGTCAGTCACTGTGTTAAACTTGTTACCTGCTTTATTTCATTCGATCACAGCTGCCTTCACCTCACTCTCCCTATTTTATAGGTGAGGAAATAGAGGCTGAGTTTAAGTCACTATCTAAAGTCACACAGCTAGTAGCACCATTTTGAACAGTTGGACTGAAAAGCCATTGCAGTTTCCACTATAAACTGTACTAGCTGACATATCCATAGTAGCTGCAGTCTTGGTGAAATCATCCTCGTGCATCTCCTAAGTCTCTCAACAATTTGTCCTTTTGATACCTCGGCTACAGAGATTTGTGAGCTGGCCAACACCTGAGGACTAGCTGAAGATGTGTGTGCCCCAATTTTGTTCTCATATAAATATTTCAACAAAAATTTCTTTTTTGCCAAAGCCTGTTTACTTGTGATTTCACACACACTTTTCCAGGAGCAAAGCCCAGGCAAGCCTTGATGTGAGGATCTTTCCCAATTTGGACATGTAGCTGCCTTCAGGATCTGTTAGTAAAAACAGGACTGCCCCTCTCTGCCAAGAGGAGTGTTGTCAGATGAGGACAGTTTAAATTTGCTCATGCACAATATCTGCACAATAACAGACACAGCACCAGGCATGAACTATTGTCAGCAAGCAGCCCTGTATCCTACATTGTAGAGCAGTGGCTCTCAACTGGGATAAGTTGGCCCCCAAGGGGACATTTGACAATACCTGGAGACATTTTTGGTTGTCACAACCTTGGGGGGCGGGGGGAATGCTGCTGGCATTAGGTGTTGCTAAATATCCTATGATGCACAGGACAGGCCCCTCATAAAGAGTAATCTGGCCCAAAATGTCAGTAGCACCAAGGTTGAGAAATCTTGGTATAGAGGAATCAGATGAGGAAGTCAAAACATTTTTTGACTATGATTAGGGTTGCGAATGCCCCCAGGAGCCTCTCGGATGCACCTTCAACCTAAGCCTTAAGAAACATGAGCTCATCATAAACAATTACTAAATACACTAAGGAGTCCCTGGATGGTACAAACGGTTAAGCACGCGACTACTAGCCAAAAGGTTGGTGGTTTAAACCTACGTAGAGGTGTCCTGGAAGACAGGC